CTTTCTTAAAATATCAGCTTTTACCTCAAAAAGATGTTTTAAAATTACAACTTTTACCTCAAAAAATGTTTTAAAATTACAACAGCTGCTTTATATTGTTATTTTTCAGTCAATATCCAATTATGATAGCTTTTCAGCAGACATAAGTTTTACAATATCATTAATTTACTGTCAAAGCCAAAATATTTAATATTTTTATATTGGCAAGAAATGATAAAAGCAAAAAATAAATGGATAGTATAAAATTCCACAGCCTTAGAAGTTTTCCACTTTTGTTCTCTGTTTCATTTTTATATACTTGCTTTTGGTGTACTTTTAGCAATGCATAAACAAATGAAGTACCTAACTCTTACATTAGTATTTCTAGTGAGAAAACCACTGATTTAGTGCAACCAGAACCCATGCCAGGTCCTTACTCTTTATGTCTCAAAAGATATTAAAACTTAGCAAGAAACAAAGGAAGACATCTATAACCTTATCTGTACATATACAGAACATTGCCCTTATTTTTTCATTTGCAGAACAGACTTCCAAAATACTGCTCCAACTGAAGAAGCTTACCCTTAGTTTTTATTTTATCATAGTATAGTTAGCGGCACACACAACATCAGCCAAGAACAAATGAAGAAACATTTTAAGAGGAGGGGGACCCTTGTTTTCCACCTATGGTGGTGGTGGAAAGTGCCATCAAGTCACAGCTGACTTATGATAACCCCATAGAGTTTTCATATTCAGAGGAAATTTGCCACTCGCGGCCTTCATGTCATGACCATGGGATTCCTTGTGGTTTCCCATCAAAATACTACCCAGGACTTGTACATACAAGCAAAGCATCTCAAAATGAAAGCTGAAGAACATCAGAGACAGAGAAGAGAAAAAACAAATCAAGATAAGCAGGTTCTGATTAGGGTTGCCAGACCCCCCAGTTTGGTGGGGATTACCCACTTTTTTGGGGGGGTTTCAACCCACCGCTGGGCAGCTGGCTGGCGGGAGAAGCCCTGCCCCCAAGCCCCAACACCTGCAGCCACCCCTCTCCCTTCTCTCTTGAGAGAGAGGAGGGAGAGGGGCGGCTGCGGGCCCCACAACTAATCTCTAAGCAGCATTCTCACTTGGAGATCGGGCGCGCGGGGCCCTCTGGCTGCCTGCACTTAAAAGGAACCCTTTAAGTGCAGGCAGCCGGGGCAAAAGGGCCCTCCACACCCGATCTCCGAGCGGCATTGTTGTATACTAAGCTTGGCCGTGTGCAAAGCCAAGCCCACACACGGTCAGGCGAAGAGCCCTAGCTTCGCTCTAAGGAACAACAGACCAAACGGATCCTAGCCCGCACCTATCAGAAGGCTAGGATCCAAGGTAGGACCTATGGAACTCTTGGCCACTGTAAATATCCTATCACAGGTAAAGGGTGTGTACTTGGGTGTGGTTTGACTCCTAAATATAAGCCAGCCTGTGAGCCAGCATTCTCTCTCTTGTTCTACATCTCTAAATAAAGTATGAACTGAATCACTTCGTTATGCATCAGGCTCAGTACTTTTAACTGGCTACGAGGATGGGATCTGAATGAACAAACAAGATGCAGCACCAAGCATCGCATCGCGCCCCGACTCCAGCACTGTGCTCTGTACCACTGGCCCCAACTCCAACACTGCATCACGCTCCGCTTCTCCAGAGGCCCAGGGAGGTGGCAGAGGGCCTCTTATGGCCTTCTGTGGGCCGCAGCTCTCTGACGCAGGCCCAGGGAGGCAGCGGGGGACCCTTTTTTGGCCTCCCACAGGCTGCAGTTCTCCGGCATGGGCCTCCCGTGGGCCGCAGCACTCCTGCACGGGCCTGGAGAGGTGGTGGGGAGGCAGCGGGGGATCCTCTTCTGGCCTCCTGTGGGCTGCATTGCTCTGGCACGGACCCGGGGGGACCCTCTTCTGGCCTCCCGCGGGTCTCAGCGCTCCAGCAAATGGCAGGGGACCCTCTTCTGGCCTCCGCCGGGCTGCAGTGCTCTGGTGCCGGGCTGAGAAACGTGGCGGTGGCAGGAAGGGGGTGGGGCTTGGTCGTGTGCCAGCCCCTGAACTCCTCACTCCCAGAGTGCCGCTATGGTGCGTTCCGGGGCCAACCGACCCCTGCGTCTAAATGGTCTAATATTATATGATATATGAAATATAAAGGGTATTATTTGTATGTGTTATTTATTATAACAAATTTGTGTGAAAATTTTATAAAAATTTCTGAGGTTATTTATGTTATACCATATGATAGATGAGATTGATAATCTAAGATAAAAATGATAATATATACTATGAGAAAATGTAGAATACACCAAGTAGGGTGTTATACTGATTTTTTAAAGTTAATATGTCATATATGGTTTAAACTATATTCTTATGCCATTACACTATATATATCATGTTATATATTTGTTAAGCTATTATACAATATACTTTTTAATATATACATATATGTTTTGATAGAGGAATGTCCTCAATATCTGTAAAATTGCCTTTATGTTTTTGGTCATTATATTTCCTTTGTGTTTTTCCCTATTCCTTTTTTCTTTCTGTATCCCTTTAAAAAAATCAAAATACATTTTTTAAAAAAGGAATTACTACTTTACACAGAGAGTGACTGACATGTGGAATTCGCTGCCAGAAGTTATAGTGATGGTCACAGGAATAAACAGCTTTAAAAGGGGATTAGATAAATAAGTTCATCAATGTCTACTAGCCATAGCGATTAAGGGGAACCTCCACATTCAGAGGCACTAAATTGCTGAATCCCGAGCCAGGAGGAAACATCAGGGGAAGGCCTCGGCCTCCCTGCCCTGTTGCTGGCCCTCCGGAGGGACTGGCTGGCCCCTGTGTGAGACGGGAGGCTGGACTAGAGGGACCCTCCCTGGTCTGACCCAGCAGGGCTCTTCTGGTGTCCTTCTCAGGGGAAGGCCTCGGCCTCCCTGCCCTGTTGCTGGCCCTCCTTGACGCATGTAACTCTAGAGAGTACTTTTTGAAAAGAACAACCATAAGGCCTTAATAAAAAGATTGGGGAAAGGGAAAAAAAGAAAAAGGTGAGTGACACAATCAAGGCTTGCTGAAATATAGAAAAAATATCTCTGTCACACACACAGTGCTGCCAGCCTTTCTACTATGTCTATACCACAAGGGGAGAAATTTGACTACTCACATTGTGGTATTGCAAGTAAAGGGGATGGAAGACAAGTTGTGCCCCTTGTACTGCTTGATTGGAACTCCCTGTATGTTGCTTCAGGCCTACTCCTGAATCCTGTCCAATCAAACCAATATATTGCTGGTGGCTGAGTGTTTAATTTATGAGGAAAAGAACGGAATAGGAGTCCATGCTACCCATTTCTGACTTCAAACACACACAGAGAGCAGAAGTGAAGCTAAAGGGTATTAAGAAATTAACACCCTTTAGCTTCACTTCTGCTCTGTGTGTGAAACTAGGGGTTGCCAGATCTGGGTTGGGAAATATCAGGAGATTTTTGGGGGGTGGAGTCTGGGGAGGGCAGAGTTTGGTGAGGGAAGGGACCTCTGCAGGGTATAATGCCAAAGAGTCCACCTTCCAGAGCTGCTATTTTCTCCAGGGAAACTAATCTCTCTCATCTGGAAATCAGTTGTAATACCAGGAGATCTCCAGGCCACACCTGGCAGTTGGCAGCCCTAGCTGAAATTGAAGTACAAGTTCATAAACAAAAATACAAAGGCCACTGCAAAGAAATGAAGTCTATTTCAACGTAGTTAGGGGTGCCACTACACTTCAAATGGGTTGTAATAATCTAGATTTACTGGGATACTCCTTATGATATTGATATTGAGAGACAGAAAGGCCGCGTCTGAACGCACCCAGAGTCAACTACATTGGGTGCTTATTTCTCCCATGTCCAATTCAAAGTGCTAGTTATCACATTCAAAGCCCTTTGTAGCCTGGGACCCTCATGCCTCTCAAACCACGTCTCCCAGGATACTCGTGTGTGCCACTTATGTTTCTCAGAAGAGTTTCTTCTGGTGGTATCCTCACCTAGGATGGTCCATTTGGCAGCAGTCCAAACACAGGCATTCCCTATGATAGGTCCATTGCTCTGGAATGGCCTATCACCACGGGTATGGTGTGCAGCGGTGAACTGGCCATTACGTCCACCAGGAAAAGAACAAAGTCCACAAGGTGGGTAGGGAGAAGCCGCTGCTGTGAGCTGGCAGCCTCTGCCTCCCACAAGTTGGGTAGGAGATGCCATTAAGTGAGCCAGTGGTTCCTGTCTTGCACAAGGTAGGTGGGAGCCGCAAACCAGCAGTCCTCCCCTCCCCCACCCTGTGCAAGGTAGATGGGCATGAGCTGGCAGCACTCATCCTGTGGGAGGCGGGCGGGAGCTGCTGTGAGCCCGTTCTTCTTCCTCCCGTCTGTTTTTTATAAATGCAGACCAAAAATTGAAGAAGGGCAGAAAAAAGCACTTTGGGGCAAATGTGAATTCAACCTAATCTGAATGTGTATAGTCATACCCATGACCCAAGGCGATATATAGAATTTAATAAAGCAGCCAGTATTCTGATTTTCCATCCACATGATTAAAAAACAGCACTACTTAAATGCAATTATCAGAAGAGAATTTAAGAGACAACAATAAGTTTAACAATTAATAGTTTCTCTTATAGGTGATAAATTAGTTAATGGATTCACTCTGGTGTATCTTCACGACCTAGAGCAGTAAAAGCTTGTATATGTTTAGTTCTTAGTACTAAATAACTAGAGTGGCCCCTTTTCCTACTTGTTTGATGCAGGCATTTCACATGGGATAAGCAGTACAAACCCAAAGAAAGATGCATTATCTAAAAATAATTGCCTGAAACAAAATTCCTATCTGGTAGCCTTTCAAAAGCTATTTACAGCACCAGAAATAGTATAATTATTTTCCCTTTCAGACAGAATGTAACCTTTGTGTAAGGGCCTGCACTGGAAACCTAACAGGCTTCAGGTTCCTTTACAGCAATGCTACCATTCTCTTTTACCTGCTTCAGTATATTTTAATCCAACTTTCTCTCCTTCATCTTTTGCTTTGGGTGGTGGCCAGATAGTCTGGAGTCTTCCTGGAGTCTTGTCATCCTGTTCTGAGGAACTTGCATCTGTCTAGTAAAACAAAGCACTGTGTAATTTAAGGTCTATTAAAAGTACATTTAAATACATATGTCTGTTTATGTTAATCAATACAAATCATGTAAACTAAGTTACACTGTACAGCCAGATACATCTCAAATGTCCACTCAGAACTACACACCAGTGGCAATTCACACAGTAGTTTAGTGGAAGACTCTCTGTACAGCCAGATACATCTCAAATGTCCGCTCAGAACTACACACCAGTGGCAATCAGCTTCTGCTTCTGAATGGGACAGGGAGAGCCGGCACTCTTATAGGAAGATGTCAGGAGGTGCATCAGAGACAGGGGATCACTGTATAAGCACACACCTGATGAGTGGATAACCGCATCAATGCAGCACAGGTGATGACATTATTGGGACTGCAGACAATGCTATCTCGGCATCAGCTATGCACCTGATACTACCTCCTGATGTCCTCCAGTAAGTGGGTCAGATCCCATCCCCCTATCCATGCAATGACACTCAGCAAAAGAAGTCCAATGAGCTGTTGCATGAGCCATTCACCAACAACTAACAGCAGTATTGAGTCCTAACTTACAGTAGCAACCCATTTTTATATATTATGTATAATGTCAGTGGCACCCATTAAAGTTCTTTTAAATTATTCTGATACAGATATATTTGCCAGCCAGTGTGGATGAGAGACTGTTGACTTGGAAACTGGATCTAAATTCCAGACTAGACAGAAACTCACAGTTGCTGCCTAAACAACCACATTTTAATGTTACGTTGTCATTTTTGGAATGAGAAGAAACCCTTGAGGCAAGAAGGCATAGTACCCTTCCTCAGGGAGAGTATCTGGGAGCCAATTTATAGACTAGAGAACTAGAGCATTCCAGTGCAGCCTCATATGGGGGACTGAGCAGACCACAAAGAAAAACTTACCTCACAGTGTTGTGAGGATGAACAATCCAACTGATCTACAGTATTTCCTACAATATAATATTCTGCACTATCTTCAATTCTATTTTTACTATAATACCTCAAGTATTCACCAATACAATTTAACATTGCAATGCAAAACATTTTTTTTCTAAAAAAAAATGCTAGGGTCTCTCGTTTTGGAGATCCCAAAGTTTGGTCCTTCTCTTTTAGTTTTAGTTTTGAATAGTCAGCTCACACCCATCTAATTAGCTCATGCCCATCCATTAAATGTATCAGATTAATATTCAAAAATGTGTCTACATTCCAGATTTTGTATTAAGAACTTTAATCAACCTACTGGTTTTGTGTCGCTTGCTCCATCCCCAGATTTTGTTTTTGATTTTGTTTCAAATATTGCCTTCAAATATTCCTTTTCGTGTCTCATTTTGTGTTTTATTGCTTCTAGCTCTGAAGTGTCTGCAGTTGTTTCTTTTTTGGGAGGGCGCGTGAATAAAGCTTTAAAGGCATCTAGAGCTGACTCAGCAGGACTTGGTTTGACTTCGTCAGGGGGGTCTGAAGGTTCTGTTCTCACAGAAGATTTGCTTTCTTGACAGTCATCACTGCCTCCAGAGTCACTTGTTACCTCAGTAGAATCTTTATCATCATTTTTAGGCCCTAAAAGTTGAGAGAGTTGTTCCAGAAAGGTTGGACTAGCTTTAGGCTCAGATAGCTTCCTTTTAGATAACGGATCAGGTGCAATATGGGCTTTTTTAACAGGCTGCCTTAATTTAAGCATAGCCAAGTCACTGTCCTTCTGTTTGATTTCAGTTACACTCCCCCCCAGATCTCTGGGCTGTCCTTTTTTCCGTACACGGAATCCACTAAAGAAGGCAGGAAGCTGAAAGGACTTTTCAGTTGCACTTGGTTTTTGGATAGATACACTACTAGAACTGCTTGCCAGATATCCTTGCTCTTCTCCAGACTCCTGAGCATCTTCTCCTGTAGTAGGCAGGTTAATACTTTTCTCATCTCCTAGCATTATGTTTTCACTATCGGAGCCAATTTCCTGTAGCGTATTATCCATTTCTGTTACAGGCAATTTAGAAGTTGGTAGAGATGTTTCTGTTTTGTCTCCACTTGTAGTACCACCAGTTTGTCTATATCCTTCTGTTACCTGCTCTTCCTTACTCTGGTCATTATCCTGCAAAGTCACAGCACTGTTGAAAGTAGATTTATTTGTTGTGTTTTCATCACAGTGTATGTTTGTGGCTTCATTGTCTGACTCTGTGTCACTTGTTGTATGAACCAAAGTACCCTGAACAAGAATGACATCCTTGTTGTTTTTTCTGCTGAATTCAGACAAAGGCGAATGTAGAGATTTGGTACTACAAAGAGATAGCTCATTCTGCTCAGGCTTCTTCAGTTCCAAGTCAGCTGGGCTATCAGCATGAGCCTCGCATACATCTGGAAAACCAGTGCTGGGTTCAGAGTCAATTGCAGTGCCAACATCAGCTTCAGGGTCACCTGAGGCACCAGCAGCAGTCTCAAGGTGAGATGCAGCACAGGGACCCAGCACCCCTGAGAACACCGAGGCAGTAGCATTGGTTTCTAGGGCAAACAAGCTGCCAGTACCAGCATCCAGGGTAGCTTGAACATCGTTTGTGTTTAGTGGTATTTCACACTTAGCTTGTAGTACTTCTGGAAGTAGACCAGCTATTCTCGGAGCCTCATCACCACCAATATTATTCCCCACTTCCTGGCTGTCAATATGGATATCACCATTAACATTTCGAAAGGCTTTAAGAACTGCTTGTTCTTCTGATGCCCTAGAGTCCAATTTATCTGGAAATCCAAAAAGTGCTTTCACAGAACGTTTAGTGAAATGAGTCTGGCCTGGTTCACCTTTCGTTGCATTCTCTAAGAGCTTGTTGCAGTCAGAAGTTTGCTTTGCCTCCATGTTGGGCAAATCACAGTTGCTCTAATATTCCTGGAACAGATGCTAGTTCATTTCAGTACAGTTACTCCCAAGGAACATTTTCATTTGTTAACATAAAATACCACACAGAAAGGCAGCTCAGGCAGGTCAAACTGCCCTCTTTCTCTCTTTCAGTTCAGCAGTCTGAAATGCAAATTTCCGCTGGAGTTTACAACCTGAACACAGAAGAAAATGGGGAGATTTTGCATGTTGTTGCACAGCATAAATTTCTCAGCAGTGTCACAACTTATTCTTTACAAAAATGGCCTTTTTGTTAAGGCAAATCTTCTACAAACTAATTGTTGTTATTCTGTCTGCTACACACACAGTTGTACTTACTAGACAGCGCAGTGAAGGAGCTACAGTTCAGACTGAACAGCTAGTACTTGCAGTTTGCTACTTCCTTATGTCAGTTCCAGACTCAGTAACATTTCTCAGCAGAAAACTCCCGAAAGACAATTCTGTGTCCGAAAGAAAGTTTCTTCTCCACTATGGTCAAAGTTGTTTTTAGAAAATCCTTCCAAGGAGGAAATGCTAGAAAATCCTGATCGAAGAGTTTTGAACACCAATTATATGCCTTCTTTTAACTTCTGAAGAGTTCCGACTGCTGCAAAGCCCAAGTTAACTGAGTGCAGTGCCCTTGAAGCTGAATAAAAGAAATACCCTCTTCCGCTTTCCTGCAGGTTGCATCTGAAATGCCGATTCTAGCCAGTGAACACCAACCAACAAGACAGGTTTCGTATTACCTTTTAAACTCTGCACAGCTATTTCTGGGGACTATAAACAGGTACTTATCAGACATTCACCACACCTACGGATTAGAAATGACATGGGAGGGGAAGGTAAACAGCCACAACCCAGTAGTCTGTAATTAACTCTACAAAGAACAAAAGTGAGCATGTGTGCCTCTGCTGTGTGTAATCCAAAATAAAGTGATTTACACAGAGGAAAGAAGCAGATCCAAGTTCATTGTGAAACGAGAGCTCTCCTTCAATTCACCAGTCCTGGGCAGCTGGATGAGAGGCTTTTTGCAGTTTAGTTATTTGAAAATTTTCATTTATATTATTTTCTCATTCTAGAAAATAACAAAGCCAAATGCACACATCGAACAAGGAAACAATATACACATATAATTGCTTTATACTGAATCCGATCTTTGGTCCATCAAAGTCAATACTCTCTACTCAGACTGACAGTGGCTCTCCAGGGTTTCAGGCAGAGGACTTTCACATCACCAGAGCCAGTTTGGTGTAGTAGTTAAGAGTGCAGACTGTAATTTGGGAGAACTGGGTTTGACGGACATTACGCGTGTTTTAGATAGGCTGGTAAATAGTGCTGGGGAGGAGCCAGTGGTCATGGTGCATGTCGGCACCAACGATGTGGGGAAGTGCAGTTGTGAGGTCCTGGAGGAGAAATTTAGGCTGCTGGGCAGGAAACTTAGGTCCAGGACCTCCAAGGTAGTTTTCTCAGAAGTGCTACCTGTTCCACACCAGTGGTCATGGTGCATGTCGGCACCAACGATGTGGGGAAGTGCAGTTGTGAGGTCCTGGAGGAGAAATTTAGACTGCTGGGCAGGAAACTTAGGTCCAGGACCTCCAAGGTAGTTTTCTCAGAAGTGCTACCTGTTCCACGCACAGGGCCGGAGAGACAGGCACAGATCAGGAGTCTCAAGGCGTGGATGAGACGATGGTGTAGGGGGGAAGGTTTCAAGTTTGTTAGGCACTGGGATGCTTTTTGGAACAAGAGGGAGCTCTACAGGCAAGACGGTCTCCACTTGTCCCGAGAAGGAACCAGGCTGCTGGCGCTTAAAATCAAAAAGGTGGCAGAGGAGTTTTTAAACTGAATA